GTGTGTGTGTGGTAAGCTGCCATGCAGACATCTACTTTCATTCAAGCTGTCTTTCTTCATTAGTTGGATCAAACACACACTTACAGGCCTCCCTCCCTCCACCTATCGCCAACACACACATCTGTATACGTGCAGAGCAGACTTGCTGAAACACACACACTGAAAAACACACACTTGCAGGCGACCACACACAGTTCAGCAGCTTCAGCAAAACCGCAGCCTGGCGTTGTTTCCATGTGTGTTTGGATTCCAGGTCAGACTCCTGTGAGCAGGAGGCGGTGGAGCTGATGGAGCTGATGGAGCTGATGGAGCTGGTGGAGCTGATGGAGCTGATGGAGCTGAAGCCCTCTGACAGTATTCTTCAGCTTCTGTCACTGGGACAGGCGGGACTTCTCCTCATAAAGTCCTGGAGCAGCTGGCTGGTGACATATGAAATGAGACTGTCGCCCCTACAGGTTATGAAAAACTCAGACGGAGCATTGCTTAATGATGAAATGGAGGGAAATGTCTCCTGATGATGTGCTGATGAAGCATCTTGGAGCACTCTCAGTTTACCACAAGTCCCACGCCGGCCTCATTGTTAGAAATATTTAGAAACAAATGACATCTATCTGCAGAATGCAGTCATCAGCCAGCAGGGGCAGCAGTGAGAAATACGCTTCAGCACTTGAAGCAGAATGCAGACGGAGCCGCGGTCTGAGGACACAACACGTCAGCCACTGCTCATATACGTTTAGCTTTGTCATGTGTTGTGAAGGAAATCACAGCCCTGTTGGTTGTTAGATTACTTCCACCACAGAGCACCTTTTGACTGTTACTGGGGCAGATCTGGATCCACTTTCCTCAATGAAAGCCAGAGGAGGGAGGAGCGAGCGATACGATTGGTCCGGACGGTCTAATAAACGGACTTGATGGGTAGTCGAAGAGAGGCAGGGAGGAAGAGCCTCAAGGCTTTTGCTAGAACATAAACAACAGCAGCTATTGGGAGGATTGTCACGATAGCTTCCCCGTTACACGGCCTGTAGTGTGTGTGTGTGTGTGTGTGTGTGGATGGATGGGTGTGTGTGTGCTTACTCACTGAAATCTGTCCAGTCAGGTGCACGATGGGGTTTCATGTCTCATTTAAATCACAAACTGGCGCCCATGAGGTTAAAAATTAAATTTAGAGTTAATGTTTGTCTTTGAATCGGGGTCGGCTCAGGTTGAACTTCTAGTGATGAAGGCTACGGTCCGGATCACTCCACAGGGAACGGACGTAGTCAATGCACTGTCCTGTGTG